GCCATGTGGATGTTCATGTCAGATTCATGAGTAGATACTCTGTGGGGTGTGTCAGAAAGAGAACACACCATTCATTGATGGTGCGCTTGAGACTTCACCAATCATAATGAAGCGTCATGTTATGCCTTGACACAATGTGCCATGAAGGCTTCACGAGGAAGTCGATGCCACACCTCAATAAGAAGCTCTGAGGTATGGAACCCATTACAAATGCACTTAGTACAACCATTGTATTCATACTATGGAGGAGTTGAACTCAACCAGGAGTTGAATTCTGGCAGTAAACCACTGTGATACCTCCCCTACCTCCCAGAAAAGGCAGTCTTGCGCTTCACTAATTATGTCAGTTTGCAAATGTGACAGCTTTGTGGTGATAGCTATGATCCACTGATAGCTATGGAACTTTGTTTCAGAAATGTCAAGCTCAGGTAATGTTTAAGTTACCACTGATTACATTTGGTTAGCTTACATGGAGACAATTAGTTCAAACCAAACAATGGTCAGAATTGTTTGAGATTAAAATTTATAACGTATATTCTTGGGAAATGAATGAGCAGCCAGTGAAGTGCAATTTGATTCCAGATGGATGACATTACTGAATCATTGGATGCATGATTAATGCAATTGTTCCCAGCACAGACTCAGATTCAAACAATGTTATCCACCCCAAAAGAATAAAGATGTAACTTAGTCCACCCACACCATATAAATGACAGTTATTTTGTATCATTACTGCATTGTTGATTTTGGATCACAGATGACAAGATTTCAATGAGTGATTGACAGGCTCCACAGCATGATTGCACTCTATCCTTGATATTCTCTTTAGTCTTCCTATCCCTGTTTCAGCCTCTTTCAGCCTCCCTCTATTTACATTCGGCCCTTTATGTAACCATTGATATCCTCAGTTTGTCCCCTGAGTCCATGGATTTGAGAATTGCAATACTCTATCGAATGTACACTCATCCCAAGTAGAGGGCAGTGATTGTGACTTGTAGAATTATATAGCATTAGAAATGTACAGCCCTTCAGTCCAACTTGTCCATGTTGACTAGATCTCCTAAATTAATCTAGTCCCATTTGCCAGCATTTGGCCCATATCCCTCTAAACCCTTCCTGTTCATGTACCCATCCAGATGCCCTTTAAATGTTGTAATTGTACCAGCCTTCACCATTTCCTCTGTCAGCTTGTTCCATACACGCACCACCCTCTGCATGAAAAAGTTGCCCCTCAAGTTCTTTTTAAATCTTTCCGCTCTCATCTTCAACCTACATCCCCTAGATTTGGACTTCCCCATGCAGGGGAAAAGACCTTAACTATTCATCCCATCCATGCACCTCATGATTTTATAAACCTCTATAAAGTCACCTCTCAGTTTCCAATGCTCCAGGGAAAATAGCCCCATCATATTCAGCCATTCGCTACAGCTCAAACCCTCCAATCCTGGCAATATCCTTGTACATCTTTTCTGAACCATTTCAAATTTAACAACATCTTTCCTGTAGAAGGGAGACCAAAATTGAATGCAATATTCCAAAATGGCCTGACCAATGTCCTGTATAGCTGCAACATGATGTCCCAACTGCTGTATTCAATGCATTGATCAATAAAGGCAAGTGTACCAAACCCCTTCTCCACTAACCTGTTTACCTGAGATGCCACTTTCGAGGAACAATGAACTTGCACCCCGAGGTCTCTTTGTTTGGTAACACTCCCCAGGACTTTATCACTAAGTGCCTTGCCAAAATGCAACACCTCACATTTATCTAAATTAACCTCCATCTGCCACTCCTAGGCCCATCAGCCCATCTGATCAGGGTCCCGTTGTAATCCGAAATAACCTTCTTCACTGTCCACTACACCACCTGTTTTGGTGTCATCTGCAAACTTACTAACCATTCCTCCTACAGTCACATCCAAATAATTTATGTAAATGACAAAAAGTAGTGGACCCAGCACCAAACCTTGTGGCACACCACTGGTAAGAGGGCTCCATTCCATAAGCAACCCTCCACCTCCAACCTCTGCCTCCTACCTTCAAGCCAATTTTGTATGCGACTGGCTAGCTCTCCCTGGATTCCACATGATCTAATTTTGCTAACCAGTCTACCATGCAGAACCTCGTCGAACGCCTTGCTGAAGTCCATATAGACAACGTCCACTGCTCTGTCATCATCAATCTTCTTTGTTACTTCTTCAAAAAACTCAATCAAGCCATGATTTTCCACACTCAAAGCCATATTGACTATCCTAATCAGTCCTTGCCTTTCCAAATATGAATAAATCCTGCCCCTCAGAATCCCTTCCAACAACTTACCCATCACTGATGTTAGGCTCACAGTTCTGTAGTTCCCTGGCTTTTCCTTACCACTTTTCTTAAATAGTGGCACCAGATTAGCAATCCTCCAGTCTTCTAGTACTTCACCCATGGCTATTGATGATACAAATACCTCAGCAAGGGGCCCAGCAATCTCTTACCCAGCTTCCAACAAATTTATAGCATGCACTTGATCAGGACCTGGGGATTTATCCACCTTTATGCGTTTTAAGATGTCCAGCACCTTCTCCACTGTAAATGGGCACTTTTCAAGATATCACTGTTTATTTCTGCAAGTTCTCTAGCTTCCATATCCTTCTCCACAGTAATTACTGATGCAAAATATTCACTTTGGTTCTCACCCATCTCCTGTGGTTCCCCACATAGACGGCCTTGTTGATCTCTAAGGCACCCTATTCTCTCCCTTAGATAACAAGGTGTAGAGCTGGATGAACACAGCAGGCCAAGCAGCATCAGAGGAGTAGGAAAGCTGACGTTTCGGGTCTGGACCCTTCTTCAGAAATCTTCCGAAACGTCAGCTTTCCGGCTCCTCTGATGCTGCTTGGCCTACTGTGTTCATCCAGCTCTACGCATTGTTATCTCAGATTCTCCAGCATCGGCAGTTCCTACTATCTCTATTCTCTGCCTTGTTACTCTTTTGCCATTAAAGTATTGTAGAGTCTCTTTGGATTCTTCTTCACCCTATGTTCCAAATCTATCTCAAGTCCCTTTTTTAGCCTTCCTGATTTCTTCTTGGATATACTCCTACTGCCCTTATACTCTTTGAGGGATTCGCTCAATTCACTCAAACCCCACCTGCCAGAACTCCCCGCCCCTTCTGTGCTGTATGATATCCAGCCCTTCTATTTTGAATTGTCCCGTTTCACTATTGCTATTCGCTCAGCAATCCAATCCAAACTTTAATGTCCCAATTTCCCAAAGACTCCATGTATTGCCCCTGTGAAATCCCTGACCATCAATGTTCAAACCCCAGGACTGTCCATTACCCATTCCCTGATCTGATTTGGCATGACAACCCCAACTGAGCATGATCTAGCCCCACAATAATGTCTCAACTATCGTCCCTGGTCTCGATGCATTTGAGTTGTATGACTGACCATGGCCTAAAATCTTGATTGCAGTGTCAAGGATCCCCAGACTCAGACAGGACCAAGTGTCTGACTGACCATGGCCAACTTTATGTAATTGGACATACGTCCTGACCGACTTTGGAGGTAGCCCCTGGCCACACAAAGGACTGCTCCCCTTTATCTTTCAGACAGGGTCATTTGATTGAAGGACGTGCAGTGTGATTACCACATACATTGCTGGCACATGCTGTCGGTGTGTTATTGATGTAGCATAGTGCCATATGCTTACTTGACAATCTCCTTGGACTGTTTAGTCCTCTGAACCAGAACAATCCACCTTCTCTTCCCCTGCATGAAAAACAATGCAAACCAAAGAGGCTGGAAGTCTCTAAGTAAGCACAAAGTAAATGAAATCTGAGAAATGAGACAAAAGCCATAAGATGCATTCTATTTAGAGGCATGAAATATATATGTGTGCTGCATACAAAGTAACGTAGCAGAAGCATGCAAGTCATAGGTGCCCTTGGACAACAAAGTGAAGTCCTGAAGCACGGAAGTGCAGTCAGAGTTGGATCAAGTGCAGGAGTGATGATGTGATGAAGTTGGTGCTTGCTGATGTCAACCTTTTGAACAGGGACTGGAGGAGGACATTGCCATGGAGCATACAGCATTGTTGTGGTGAAGACAGAGTTGAATAAAGTCTGGGACCAGCAATTGGTGAGCTCTGACTTCATTCTGAGAATTGACACTGTCTAGTTTCTTAAGGAAAGAAAGTAGAATTGGAAATGGCATATAAATGAGGTGAGTGGGACTAATATGAGAAGGAAATGCATGGAAATAAAGTTGTAACTACTTAATAGTCAGATACTGATGCAGCAGTTGAAGGTTTAAGGGGAAAATTAGGAAATATTTATTGACAGTAAGATTTTTTCATTTTCCCAATTTGCTTGCCATTGCCCACATCGCTTGAGGGAGTGGAAAATTTCACCCTCTATCAATTAGTTTGGCAATATGAGTCCAACTATGGACCTGGGCCAATCCACCTTCGGTAGTAACGGGTAAGATAGCAGATTTATCCAATTTTATCAGTTACGTATCTTTTCCAAATGAACACTGTCCAAGAGTATATAATCAATTGAGTCCAATGTTTTGCCTTTTGAACAAAGGCACAGCTAATGTTTGGTGGGATTTTTTAAAGAATTATTCAAGAATATTTTAACTTGCCAGTGAAACAGCACTCCTTCCTTTAGGTTCCAAGCCCACACATAGCTTTCAAAACATGTAGACAAACCCATAGGGAGTGTCATTTGCTTTTGTAATTGGCAGTCTGAAGTGACAGTCCACTGTAGTAAGATAGATACGACTTGATATTTTAGTGAAGTTTGGCAATGGAGCGTGTATATTTAATCAATATCCTTATACAAACAGTAACTGGCATCTCAATAGTTAAAGAACAAGTGATCCGTGATGAATTGCTAAAGCAGGCGTGGTGTGTCTGTGCTCATTGGGGGTGTGTTCATATGACCATTTTTCACAGAGCAAAAACTTTCAAACTAACCAGACTTATTCTGTTGACTTTGGCATATTTTTAACTATCCCCTTATACTGATGGTATCAGTAGAACAATTGAAACTGTACTGTTTGGATTAAGAACATTTTACTTTTGGAACTTTCACTAAACTAGCTTCTCTAATGTAAGAAATATTTGTTGAAACTTTGAAGGTAAGGCAAATTATTGTTCTGTGGATGTTATGTATTGAGTTCATGATATATTTGATTATACTTATTGTTGGAATCTAAAATGTATTTTTTTGGAACATAAACTGTCCTTTACTTTCAGCATTTGAGAAACGGCTGAATTCTGTATGTATTTTACACAGACAAAATGTTGTAGTGACTACTTATGAAAATCATTTTGCAAATATTGCAAAGCAATGTTGGACTAATGTGGCTGTTACTGTAATTCTTGCATCTGAATTTTACACAAATTCTAACTTTGTTTGAAGCAGAGCTCCAGTAGCTCGGATGTAGAAGTTACTAACTAATTTGTCTTGAAGGCAAATTCTTCTATTTTTATGAGAGCATATAGTTGAAAAGCTCATTGTATTAGAAAGTATAGAAAACCGTAACCTTTAGGGAACAAGTCTCTTTATATATCAAAGAACTATAACCCTGTATACAACGTGGCTGCTTTGGAGCAAGTCCAAACTAACACCACTTTGTTGCGAAGAACTGGGTGTAAACAGCCCAATCAAGATAGTCTGCATTGAATATAAATAATAGATTGTTTCTGCTGCAGTGAGAAATGCAAATTAATTCCCACATTTAGATTTAAGAAACCCACTCAAATCTTAGGTACAAATTCCAGAGTTTCTAAACCCACACTGCATCACATCTGGTGTTTGCATCTAAGCTGAATGTTTCTGGTTGTGCTTATCTGTGAGAGGGCTGAGATCTAGACTGCAAGAAATATAAGCTTCTTTTTATTTCAATGCTGGGAAGCAAGCATCTGTTAGCTGATTTCATTTGTTTACGATGTAAAATCCATTTTCCATAAACTGGCAGCAAGTCTTTGATTCTGGAAATCGTGGAGGCTGCATTTCAACAAAAGGAATGTCATAGAAATAGCTTTATTCTTCTGTGAATAAATAAAAGATCTTCTCCATTTTTAAAGAAAGTTATCTGGTAGGGAATAGAACCAGTAAATGCTTGAAATACTCAGCAGATCAGACAGCGGTGAGAAAAGCAGAGTTAAATATTTCAGGTCAATGATGTTTCATCAGAATGTCATCAGCCTGAAATGTTAACTCTATTACTGTCAGCACTGACGCTGTTTTACCTGCTGAACATTTCCAGCAAGTTCAGTTTTGACGTCAGATTTCCAACATCGTTTGTTATTATTTAGGGGGAATACTTTTAATGTTCAGTCCTCCCCACAAGCCCCACAATCAAATCAATACTAAAAAAGGAAGAAATGGCTAACTTCAATGTTCATTTTCAATCTCAGAGAGAGTTTCTGTGAAGCTACAGCTCACATCTGCTGTGTCAATAATAGAACATCAGGTAGTGGCTCCAGAGGGATCACAGAGGTTAGTATCCACTGCTGGACAGGATGTCAGTTAAGAAGCAATCAAACCACTGTAGATAGCAGTAACTAGTGAACACTTGCTTTATCCCAGTCAATGTTTAGTCCAATCCTAATTGCTGACTTACAGATTTCCCAAGGAGTATTCATATACCTGTTGTGAAGGAGTCCAGGATAATGTTCCAATGTTACAAGCTACAACTCTCCTCAAAGTGCTACCATCCCCAGCAAGGTGAACAGTGAAAATTAATATTATCTCCTATATTATATGCCCATCAAATCAAGCAAGTAATTCAATTGCAATCAATTGCTTATTGGAAAATGTAGATAGTTTGCTGAGCTCACAATATACAGGAGCTAACTAATATTAGGAACAGGAGTAGGCCTTTCAGTTCCTCAAGCATGTTTTATAGTTCAATTAGTTCTTTGTTCAACTTTATCTGAACATCATATATCTACATTTGTGCATATCTCTTTATACCTTTACCTAATGTTAATCATTCAATTTCAATTTTGGAGCTTTCAAATGATCAAACCCTTTGAGAAAGTTCCAGATTTCCATGACCCTTTGTGCCACAACAGAAAAATAAACACAAATCTTTTTGAACCGAATACAAGAAGCACCAGTTAAGGTAATGTGAATTTACATATAATACTGTCCATATAGCACTCACCAAATGAATGTGTTGGAGATAGAATGCTGCAAATGTTCACTCAGCTGAAACCAGGAATGAAGAGAGATTGGTTTGACTGGACCTATATTCACCAGGATCCAGGAGAATGAGCAGGGATCTGATTGAAGTATGCAACATTTTAACAGGGATAGATAAACTGCATGCAGGGAAGATGTTTCCCCTGGGTGAGGAATTTAGAACTGGGAGACACAGTCTCAATATATGGGGTAGGCCATTTAAGACTGAGATGAAGGGACATGACTTCACTCAGAGGGTGGTCAACCTGTGTAATTTGTAAATATAGAAGGCTGTGGAGGCCATCTCACTGAGCATATTCAAGAAAGAGATTGTTAAATTTTTAGGTATTAATGGCATCAAGGCATATGGAGAGAAAGCAGGAATATGGCATTGAGACAGAGGTTAAGCATGATCATATTGAATGGTGGAACAGTCTCAAAGGGCTGAATGGCCTACTCCTGTTCCTAGTTTCTATGTTTCAGTTTTCAACTTCTGCTGGACATCGCCACTGATACCAAAAAGATCAGAGAAAGATGCAGAAGGAGTTGACTTGTCCTTTTCAAAAATATTTTTTTCCGAACTTGCAAGAAGTGATGTTCTAGTGGCATAATCGCTGGACTGTTAAATCAGAGAGCCAGCTAACATTCTGAGGATATGGGTTCAAATCCCACCATGGCAGTTGGTAGAATTTGAATTCAATAAAATATCTGGAATTAAGATTCTAATGATGACCACGAATCCATTGTCGATTGTTAGAAAAACCCATCTGGTTCACTAATGCCCTTTAGGGAAGAAAACTGCCTTCCTTACCTGGTCTGGCCTATATGTGACTCCAGACCCACAGCAATGTGGTTGACTCTGAACTGTCCTCTGGGCATTTGGGAATGGGCAATGAATGCTGCCTAGCCAGCACCAACCCTCATCCCATTAATGAATAAAGAAAACAAAACTTCCACCTCCTTGTTTGGTAAGCAAATATTGACCTTCTGCAGGATGACTCTGAACTGCTGCCACTGGTGGATCTCTATAATTGGCAAAGACTGAGTTCTCTTAAATTTTAGATCAAAGTAATAAAGATGTAGATTACACTAAAGTGAATGCAGTGTTATCAACATGAAGCACAACATGGTGTCTTTGTAAAATACAGATGGGAAATGCACTCAGGCTATTGGCTTGTTTCCTTAGCTGCAGTCTTCTGTTCACTCCATCATATTGTGCACAATTTTATAATCCACCATCTCCATTGAACACAAGACTAAAGGAGAACCAACTAATTAATGAACAGATTAAATTCTTACTGCCGTTTTAAAATCAAGACAAGTATAGGATCCATTTAACCCTTGAATTCAAAAAAACAGAAACATAGCATGCCAGAAATTATGCATTTTCATCACAGCCCATGAGCTGAAAGAATAATAAGAACAGAAATTGTTCAGTTCAGTAAGTAGCTAGATCATGCAAAGCAGAAAGGTCCCATTCTGCTCCTAATCTTACTCAGATTCTGATCTCAGAATAGGCAGCAAGAGGAAAGATATTACCACAGCAGCCTCGAAATTGAAGAGAGAGAAATCATTCTTTGTTGAGAATTTGTCCCATAGACATCTTGAGCAACACAGGAGCAGCTAGGAGCAGCTGTGATAGCCTGTTCACATTGACAGTGTGGCCAGTGTGTGAGGCATATTTATCCAGAAGAGCAGGTTAACACACTGTAATCCAAACATGGAATCAATAATGTCAGGCGAAGGTAGAGGTACAGGTATTCTTTGGAGAGAAAAAAAGCAAGATATTTTCTGAGCACAATATGTTTACAAGTTATGGAATATTATGTCCATAATGTGGTACTTTAAATGGTATTAGTGACAGCCTTCATTTTTGTCATTCTTTGTTAAATGGCATCATGGGGTGTTAGATTTCCTTCAGGAATTCACACATGGAATATTCCTTTCTCCTAACAATATGTTACAATATGAGTAGATAGATCTGAGTACCCCATTATTATTTACTTTTGTAACGCCACCAATTAGGGAGAAAGACAGATAGCACTGATGAAATCAATGCAAAATCTGGACATTTTTTAAAAGAAAATCTTTAAACTTATACAAATAGCGCTTTTACAAGAAATGTTTCATGTTTCCAGCGATTTTCAGTTCTGTTACTGTAATGTATTGATCGCACTTCTTTTAAGGAGAGAAGTAGTGAACAGGATATTACCTGTGGGTTTCCAAACTCTGCCATCAGACTATAAGGTGTAGAGCTGGATGAACACAGCGGGCCAAGCAGCATCAGAGGAGCAGGAAGGCTGACGTTTCGGGCCTAGACCCTTCT